TTTTTTTTTTTCATTTTACAATACTTCACACATAATGGATACTCAAGGAAATAATTAGGTGCTGGAGCACAGGAATCAAGGAGACAGGAGAGGAAAGCCATTAGAAGAAGGGATGGGAACACCTGCAAGCCACTAATCGGTGCTGACAACCACCAGAAGCAAGAAGAGTAAGAGTCTTCCAGGTCTTCAGAGAGAGGGTGGACCTTCGGATACTGTTTTCTGATGTTGTTTGGGTTTTTTTTTTTTTTTTGAAAGATTATCTTAATATATAGCTCAGGCTAACCTGCAACTCAGCTTGCTTTGAAGGACTCTTTATGCTTCAGATAGTACCAAAAAAAAAAAAATGTGAAACTGGCATTCAAAAGAGAACTCTTCTGAGAAAGATAACTAAGTTCCCTCAATAGTTACAAGCTGAGCCAGGCCTGGTAGTTCACACCTTTAATCCCACCACACCTTTAACCCCAGGCAGAGGCAAGTGGATTGCTGTAAATTCAAGGCCAGCCTGGTCTACAAATCAAGTCCAGGACAGCTATTAGAAAGGTTTATGGTTTCCATTATGTATAGGGCAGGTGGAGACAAAGTCAGCGAGAGGTGAAGCATATTGTTTTCTTTCAAAAGCATAAGCATTTTACACAATTAAATGCCCTTGGCAGAGAACATTCGGGGAACAGGGCCTGCCTCTGTGAGCTGGTAAGAGGAAGTCAGTTATCCACTTCCTCCCTCACCCAGTTTCTCCATTCCTCTCTTCCTGTTCCTGGTGTAATCCCAGGCATTTACAGATTTCACACAACATAGCCCTTGACTGGCCTACTTCATCCAGTGACACCTCTGCAGAGAATGCCTGGCACCAGCTTTAACAAAGCAAACACTAGACTTCTCAATAGCTGTTTAGACACTGTATCTGACGGGCAGGCTCAGCGGTCTCCAGGGGAGTGCGGCTGCAGACACTGTACTTGACGGGCAGGCTAAGCGGCCTCCAGGGGAGTGCGGCTGCTAGTGGTGCTCATTTGATGCGATGTCTCTGGAACTTACCTCGGGGAAAACGTGATTCTACTACATTAGCCCTTAACTCAACACTCTTTATAAAACAGGATATTGGATGATCAAAATAAAAAAATCTACATTCATCATGACATCAGGTGTTTGCTGGCTGAACCTTGAAAACCTAGAAAGTGTATTATAACACGTGATAATAACAACAATGTGACCTTTTGACGTTTCCAACCCAAACAGTATTTGACTGTATTGTTTACTCCACCTGAACCCAGGGAGTCTAAAGTGCAACTGGAATGTGGGCATTTTCCGGCTGAAGGAAGCAGATACTGGAGAAGCATGATGCCAGCACTCCCAAGTGTTACCCAGTGGGCTGTCAGCCTTGGGGAAAGGCTAGCATCCCCCAAAACCACACAGAGAAAATCTATAAGTGGGACAATACAAGCACATTCTTAGGACATCGGCAGACTCAAGATTAAGTACTATTGCTGGAGCTAGGCCTTTTACCTCAAAAATCAGGAGGCATGGGCAGGTGGGTCTCTGTGAGTTACAGGCCAGCCGGGTCTACAGAGTGAGTTCCAGGACAGCCAGGGCTACACAGAGAAACCCTGTCTTGAAAACATAAACAAAAAAGTATTAATGGTCTAGAAATGAACTAATATTTCACTTGGGCAAATGTCCCAATAGTCATTACGTGAGGCACTCTTTTTTTCTTTCTTTTCCACTAGTACTGGGGTTGAGCCCAGACCCTCAGACATGTGAGGTAAGTACTTTACCACTGAGCCATATCCCTGGCGCCTAGTGTGCTTTTTCTTACATCATAACCCCAGGTCGATTCCTTTAAGGAGTATCTTCCTCCCTTTATCAAGAACAAAACCCCACACAGGTGCATAAACAATTCCTTCTAATATCATTACCATAAATTTTAATACACTTGACAAGGGAATTTAGTCAACAAGAACCTTCTTGTTCGGAAGAGAGGACCATTAGGAATATTCTCCAGTGTAACCCAAGTTGCGGGAATATTCTCAACTTTTTAAGATTTTTACTGCACTTATGTGTGTGTGGCCGGTGTATGTATTGAGGGGAGAAGGTGTGCAGAGGTCAGAAGCAGTTTGCTCCCTCTACTTTGCTGTTCCTGGGGAACAGACTCAGGCTTGGTGGCAAAGTGCCTTTACCCAGTGAACCATCTCACTGGCTTTTAATTAGGGGAACACAGCATGAGCAAAAGCAACCTGGGAAGTAAAGAGTGTATCTGGCTCACAGGTTACCGTGTATCACCAGGGTAGGCCAAGGCAGGGACCGAGGCAGAAACCGTGAAGAAGCACTGCTTACTGGCTTGCTTTCCATGGCTTGCTCAACTTACTTTTCTATACCACCCAGGACCTGCAGCCCAGGGGTGGTACCTCCCACAGTGGGCTGGGCCATTCTACAGCATCAATCAAGAAAACGTCCCAGATTTGCCCGTGGGCCAACTGGATGGAGGCAATTCTCAACTGAGGTTTCCTCTTCCCACTCCAGCTGTGTCATGTGTACACACACACACACACACACACACACACACACACTTTTGCTTCTGAAGCAATGAAAGTCTCCCGCTATCAATTCCAAACCACTCGAAGAGCTTAAACTGAGAAACGGGAGAAACAGCGATAGCCGGGAAAAATGGATAAGGTCTCATAATCTCCCATAACCTGAATTCTCCAGCCACAGGGCTCCTTCTAGGTTCACCCCGTTTAGAGCGCAGCATCTCTGCCCAAACCCAGCAGGGCGTGACAACCTCCAAAGACAAACACAGCCTCAAGAAGGCGCTTTCAGCCGCCACGCTGAGGAATCCATTCCCACCTTTACCACCATCCAGACTTGCGCTCTGCGCGCCGGGCCGCCACCTTTCCAGCTGGAAGGGTGGGTCCGGCCCAGCCCCGAGCCGACCCCTCCTCCGCAGTTTCCTCCTGAGGGGGTGGAGAGCGTACCTGCTCGATGGCTAGCTGCACCTCTGGAGTGAGCTGCAGCACCGCCTCCAGCTCCTCCACAAACTCCAGTTCCTCCTCCTCCATCATCCCGCCGCTCAGCCTCTGACGCCTGCTCCAACCCTGCACCTGCGCCGTCACCAAGACCCAAGAACTGCCACCCTGCAGGGACAGCGCTCGGGCAAGCCGTTACTCTCGCAGCTAGCCCGGCACTTCCGGAGAGCCGGGCACTTCCGGGAGCCGGGGAACTCTGGGATAGCGGAGGACGGCCCTCTGACGGCATGGCCGTCAAGTCGGTCGTCGCACACAGCCGGCCCTTAGGAGCGCGAGCCCTCTGCACCTCGCCCAGGCGGCTTCCCCCTCGCCGCAGTGTCGCTGGAGAGCGGGGACGCCCCAGAGAGCGGCAGCCGCGGGACTGATGGGCAGTGAGCCCCGCGGGCCACGAAGCCAGCGAGCCACGCTCACTGGGCCCCCTTGGTCAGGGGCAGTCTATGTGCCCTGCCATCGGGACTGAAATGACCCTAACTAGTAAGTGGCGGTGTGGCCGCGGACATTTGAAGGTTGGGAGATCTCTGCTCCCTAGATAAGGATCTGCTGGGCAGAGAGAGTTGAAGCCTCCTTGCGAGGTCGGGGATGGGGGAAAAGCGAACCAACGCTAGGAAGTGTTTATTTTTGAGACCAAATAATATCCGGCTGCACATCCTTGTTTACACCCAGGATAAGCCTATGATCTTGAACAAAGTCCTCCCGTCTGCTCTGCTTACACTACATTAGCCGGGGTGAGCATTAAATACTGGAAGTATTATGCAAACTTAAGCTGGTACTACAGGAAATGTTGGGGTGTCTGGCCTCCTACATCACAAAAAGCGGAGCCAGATCACCCTGTGGAACCACTTTTCCAGCAGGCACTGAAACAGTGAGGGAGTTGCAGCCAAGGGAAGCGTTGTCCTACCAGCTCGACATTGTGAAACCGTCACTGGAGGAGTCTGTGGACCTGCTGAACTTCTAATTATTTCTTACATATAATTTTATCGAAATTTCTTCGAGAACAATATAATTTGCTTTTTTCATTAAAAACGGCAATGTTGGGGGTGGAATTTCATTGTAGTTTTGGTTTCAAAAATAAGTGAGCAATATAATTTTTAGCAACGCAGAAATGCTTACAAATATAAATTGCCGGGGGAGGGTGGGGTGGCGGAAGAGAGGGCTCAGCCGGTAAAGCACTTGGCCCCAATACTTATGCTTGATTCATCCCTGGAACCCACATGTTGGAAAGAGTCCTGACTTCCACAAATTGTCCTCTGACCTCCTTACATTCCTCTCACACACACATAATTGACTCGTAAAATTACGATTTTGAAAATTACTTAATAACATGGGAATGTATGCACAATGTATTTCAGGAAGCAGAATAAATATCTCTGAAAGAAAGAAATATTGGCTGGGTGTGATGGCACAAGCCTATAATCCCAGCACTTGGAAGTTAGAGGCAGGAGGATAAGGAGTTTAGGGCTGATCTCAACCACATAGTGAGTTCGAGGCCAACCTGGGTTACAGGAGACTGTGTCTCAACCAAAAGTAAATAACAAGAAAATATTTTTTCTACATTTTCCCACGTGTCTACAATAAACATATAGTACTTTCATTATCAGAAAGTATAGGTGCCAGCTGGAGTGATAGCATCCTCCTGTAAATACCAGTAGTCTGGAAACTGACACAGAAAGATGGAGGGTTTGAGGCCAGCTGGACTATGCAATGAGACAGTGTCTCAAAAGTCAAAAGCAAAGGCTGGAGAGATGGCGCAGCAGTTAAGAGCTTGCTTTTGCCAGAGGATCAGGACCTGAGTTTTGTTCCTAGCACCTTCACTGAGTAGTTCATAACTCCAAGGCATCAAACATCCCTTCTGGCCTCCAAGAACACTCACAATCATTGTGCATATACACAATTTAAAAATAAAGGGGCTAGAGAGATGGCTCAGCAGTTAAGAGCCCTGGCTGCTCTCCCAGAGGACCTGAATTCAATTCCTAGCACCCACATGGCGGTTCACAATGCTCTATAACTCTAGTTCCAGGGGATCCAGCATGCTTTTATGTCCTCCTTGGACACCAGGCATGCACGTGGTATGTATATAAACATACAAGCAAAACACCCATATGATTAAAATTAGGAAAATAAAAAAAATAAGATAAAAAGAAAGATGAAAGGGGTACAAGTAAGTAGAAAGACAAAGGAGGGAAGCCACATATGCCATTCCTCAAGGAAAATGCACTGTTATCTATTATTTTGTTTTTCTATTTTAAATTAGATATACTTTGCATACAGTAAAATTAGCCCTTTCCAGTTTCCAATGCCATGAGCTTTGATAAATGCATGTAGTTATGTAAACACCACAATCCAGGTAAGGACATTTCCATGATCCCCTACTCTTCTTCACACCCACTCTATTATCTGGAAATTGGTGGCCTGATATTCAGTCTTAGAGTTTTGACTTTCCCAGAATGTCATATAAATGGAATCGTACAGTATGTCACTTCTGTTTTCTCTCATGTAGCATAATGAATGGATTTGTGATTCATCCAGTTATCATGTGTCATTAGCTTGTTTCTTGCTGTGTAGTACTCCACTGATTTGTTTAACTGCTAGCTGATTTGAAAATGTTTGGGCTGTCTTCAATTATAAGAAGTTGTGAATAAAGCTGCTATAAACATTCCTGTCTAAATTTTTGTGTAAGTTTTTCATTCACTTAGGTGTATACCTACAAGTAAGATTGCTAAGTGCTATGGTCTGCCAGTGTTTACAATCATAAAAAAGGGTATTACGTTCACATTCCTACTGAGAGTTTCAGATACTCAGTTTCTTTTTAGTGATGATGATAATAGCAAATGTTTCCTAATGCTTACTATACATTGACTGCCAGAGCCTGCCGGCAGAGTCAAATAGTTCCTGAGTAAGGAATGAGGATTGAAAGAAAATTAAAAAACCAACACTACGTAGGGGATCTGTTCAAGAGGGCTGCCAGTAGAAACTGTCACACAGGGTTTATTCCACAGTCCCTTTTTATAGTAAAGCACCTCAATACAATGAAGGGGTTTGAGAAGTCAAACTTGTTTACCTCAACCACCTGTCTATGTGATCCTCACACAAACAAAAGGAAATGAACTTGGCAAAACATCTTGCCTATCCCTGACTCTAGGTGAAGGCCAGGATGAAAACATGCTTTTCGCTGGGAGCTCAATAACAAAGCAGCCTGACAAACAAGAAGCTCTGCATAGTCCTCCCTTTATTATATTTTAAAAATTGACCATATCTTAAGAGCGATGGAGCAGAAGATTGTGCCTGTCTTCGGTTGTCTCTCTTGAAAGATATATTCTTACCTATCATTGGTACATGAATTCCATCATTCATGCCCTATCTTAGGTTGAATATTCTTCAGAGAAATCTTACCCAACTTTGACTACCAACCTAGGGTAGATGTTGGAGTTTAATCTTATGCAGATAAGCTTTAACATTTATCACTGGTAGAAGACGTGCTTCTAATAAGAGTAATAAGCCAAGTCCTATAACACTCCATAAAAGATGTCCTTTTATCAAAATACCAAGCCTGAGAAACATTCAGAAGAACCATAATAAAAAGCTGTCAAACAACCAGAACCTGTTGTCCATTTGAAAGCTTAGAAATACAGTTTATTAGTTTACATTGATGGCAAGAAACATTAATGTTTGAATCTTGTATAAAAATGTTAACATTTCCAAACAACAAAGCATAAGGAGAATTTCCACGGGCGGTTACAGGGCCTCCTGAGAGTTTCTGTGGCAAGCTTCCAAATACCGATCTGCTGGAAACCAGAGTCAGGCCAGAGTTCCATAGTCAGTCTTCTTTCCCATTCTTCCTGAATTTGTTGAGAATTATCCTGATTACCAGACCAATCAAATCCAGTCACATTGTATCTAAAAAGTTTCTCTGCACAATGTCTTCTCCCAGGAGCAGAATAAAACAAAGGTGGGTCAGGAGCATAAGCCTCATACAGCTTTCCAGTCACCAACAGGACAGAATTCACCATGGTCAGCAGCAGCAGGAAAATCCTCCTTCCAGGGAACATCTGCAAATTGCACCGACCTTTCTGGGATCCACCTGGTTCCTTCAGTGTCCTGCTGAAAAATATAAACATGCCCTCTTCCCCATATTAATACAGGGTCAGGGCCCTGCCACATTCCAGTAATCAGATCTTTCCATTTCACTTGGGCATAATTATCTTTGGTTAGGGTGCCACGATCGATCAGCCACAGAATGGCCTTGTATATCTACATTTAAAAAATTTAAAATAAAGAGAGCTTGTTTAAGATTTGGGGATATGATTCCCCCTCTTTTATTTTTTTATTTTTTGCAGATTTTAAAAACATATCCAATGACCAATAATCTATAACCAAAATATATAGAACATGGTAAACTTAGACATTCAAAACAGACAAAACACTTTGCTATTTGTTGAATCCGATTTTTATGACCATAGAAGCTTTGTTGCAGAATTAACCATTAGTTTTCTTACTGGAAAAACTGAGAAACTACCTTTAAAAAAATAGCTCAAGTGATTTTAGCTGTAGTTTGACTCTGCTCAGCAAATTCTAACCTCCCTAACAGATGATTTTTCCTGTCAAACATTCTCTTGGTATTGCTTCCAGTCTCCTGGGCAGAGGGCCTCAGTAGACAAGGACTCTAACAGAGCTTGAGTAAAAGGTGTAGGACCATATTGAGCACATGCAATTTTCAATTCTTTTAATTGTTTAAAAGGTGTAGGAGCATGGATTCTCACCATATTACCCTATCCATCAGATTGCTCTATAATTGGAAAGCCATAAAACTCAGTTATATCTTCTCCTTTCTGCCTATTTTGTTCTTCCTCCAATTCTTCAACCTCATCAGGATCTAAGTTATCCTAAAAGTCTTCTTCTAACAAGAAATTATCATTACGAGGGACATATAACTCTTCTGGAGGAGTCAATGGTTTAATCTCATTTTGTCTCAAATTCTTCCATCTTTCTTTCCTCTTTCTCTCTAACCCTGAAAGTTTCACTTTCTCAGTCCTGTGCTACATATACAGATTATTTCTAATTAAATTCCATACAAAAACCATGAAGCTAAACCTTGTCCCATTTTTACTATCAAATTTTACTTGCTGAGCCCTTTCCTCTTTACTTTATGATCCAATCT